TCCCTCATTAGAGTCATCGTTGAGAGTTACTTGTTGGATATTTTCTGCAATTCTCGTTAATTCGGCTAAAAGTCTGTGGTTCTCCGATTCCAATCTGCGAATGAAAGATACCATTTCACGGCACAGTGTTTGAAGTTCCATAAGTTTAACCTTAAGATTTTTATTTGTAGACTCTTCCGGCTTATTCACAGTTATCTCTTTATCAATTTCTTCCTTAAGAGCCTTTACAATATTCTCTTGCTTTTCTAATTTCGTCGCGCGAGTTTTTGCATAAGTGGATCCTTGATTTTCAGCACTGTTCTTCATTAGCTCATATTTTGCCTTCTTAAGATCATTCAACAAAATATCTTTATCATGTGTCAAATCTCTAATCTTATTGGATAAATAAAAGTTCTAGATCCTCAGATTGAATTTCAAGGGTATGCACCTTGTTCCTTAATTCTGTGACAAGTGTGGTTTGGTCCGTATTAGAATCAAGGAGCTGATTAATTTAACTTTTGAGTCGCCGAATTTCCTGAAGTTGCATTTCCCTTTTTGAATTGCTCTCTTGTTTCTGTTGTAAGAGCAATCAATACCTTCAAAATCATGTGAATCGGAACATTTTCGGTGCAGAAGAGGTATTTTCTAAGTGTATTGTCTCCTTCTAAAGTACCTATATATAAAGTATATATATTTTTGAAGTAAACTCTTCTAATGATTTGAATATACCTATTATCCGGATTTTTTTTTTGGGACGAAATGAAAATAGAAGTGTCAATGATATCCTCCTCAAAGAGAACAAATGTTTTCCAAGTAGTTTTTTTCCCTTTTGTGGCAAAAAGAAACAATATCATATCGTAAAGGCGTGAAAATCCCTAAGTGTCATACATTTTCTTTCACCCAATTTTTAAATACAGTTTTTGTGTATTGATATACAGGGTGACACGAAAGGTTTGTTACAAACTTCTAGGGATAGTAGATCTCGTAAAAATAAAACTTTTTTCTTAATAAACATGTGTCCGGAAATGCTTCGTTTTCCAGATATACAGGGTGGCCCAAATTTGAGCCTCATCATTGGGATCTCGGTAACCGTAAGAGATACGGGGTCGGTTAAATTATGGCAAAGTTGCGCAATTTTGTGACCAATAGAATACCGTTTTGAAACTAGAAAGATTCCGAATACTTCCGGAGATATTCGGAAAAAACCAAAATTTTGTAAAATCGTTTTTATTTTTTCCCGGGCTTATTTGAAAATAAATTTTAAAATAAATGTCACTTCATCATTGTCACTTTTTCTCCTTTAGAAGATGGTGCTATTAAATTTAAAATTCGACGTTTCGTCTTCAGGCGGCCATCCTCAACTTCCTTTTTTTAAATACGGACCTGGATTTTTTATTTGCGATTTTGTCATCTTTGCGCATCCTAAGGGCGGTTACACACGGGCGTGGATGGCTTAATACATATACGTGCATACATCAACGTGCAAACAACAACGTGCATGGCGCCTTTGTCCAGACGCTCGCACAAAACTGCAGTCTTGCTATTCTTGCTACAGTATTCCGAGTGTGCATACAAAATTGCACATTCAAAAACGCGACGGTATTTTGCATACACAGTGATGTTTTTGTTTGCGCGTTCAAGTATGTGCGTACATGTTTTCAGACATCCACGTCCATGTGTAACCGCCTTAAAACCGATACTGTTTATAATTTTTCAATAACACAGCAAAAAAAGCAGGTCCGTATTTAAAAAAAAAAATTAATGATGATTTCAGAGGAACGAAACATTGGATTTTAAATTTAATACCGCCATCTTGTAGAGAAGAAAAAGTGACAATGGCAAGGTGAAATTAGTTTTCCACAATCTTTTTAAATAAAATCAGGAAAAAATGAAAACTATACGGAAAAAAAAAATCTCGTTTTTCTTAAATTTTTTCCTGATTTCATTTAAAAAGATTTTGAAAAACTAATTTCACATTCCCATTGTCACTTTCTCTTCTTTTCAAGATGGCAGTATAAAATTTGAAATCCGACGTTTTTCAAATACGGACCTGCTTTTTTACCGTGTTATTGAAAAATTATAAACAGTATCGGTTTTAGGATGCCCAAAGATGACAAAATCGCAAATAAAAAATCTAGGTTCGTATTTAAAAAACGTAAGTTAAGGATGGCCGCCTGAAGACGAAACGTCGAATTTCAAATTTAGTACCACCATCTTCTAGAGGGGAAGAAGTGACAATGATGAAGTGACATTTATTTTAAAAATGCTTTTCAAATAAGCCCGGGAAAAAAAAAAGATTTTTCAAAATTTTGGTTTTTTCCGAATATCTCCGGAAGTATTCGGAATCTTTCTAGTTTCAAAACGGTATTCTATTGGTCATAAAATTGCGCAACTTTGCCATAATTTAACCGACCCCGTATCTCTTACGGTTACCGAGATCCCAATGATGAGGCTCAAATTTGGGCCACCCTGTATATCTGGAAAACGAAGCATTTCCGGACACATGTTTATCAAGAAAAGTTTTATTTTTACGAGATCTACCATCCCTAGAAGTTTGTAACAAACCTTTCGTGACACCCTGTATATATACCGCCTACTCTTTCCAGCACCAAACAAAACCCAGATTTCGTTTAAACCACAAGATTCTAGGTTATAAAAAAACGAAGTTACAAGAACAACATCTGTGCCAACAGTCCCGATGACAATAGATGTTGCTCCCTCTAAAGCCATATCTTTGGCATGTAAAGCAATGCGCCCATCAGCTTCTTCCTGATATGCAAAGTTTGTTGTCAGTTGTGCTAATCAATCCTGAAGTAGCGTTTGTATTACCAACGAACACATTACCAACATTAGTGACTGCTTGAAATTTCCTTATCTCACTAATCACACTCTAATATAGTATATTACATTACGAGTGTAGAAAGTGACAAATTTTGGGTGAAAGTTTTCGCGCGAGGCGGTAGCCGAGTGCGAAAATCACACGAGTGTATTAAAGTTGCTTTCTCACGAGTGATGTACACCATTTTTCCTATGACCAGAAACCGATTTACACCAAATACACATTTTTTGTCAACAGATGTGTAACAGTATTTTTAATAATAATGTCAACAGTATTTTCCACACGTGTGCTGAAAGTACATTCAGCACGCATATTGAAAGTACGGTACGAGTGTGATATTTACTGCTTTCCAAAGAGCGGACAAGTGCGGATTCTGTCATTTTTGTATGTGGTCGTAGGAAAAGTAAATATCACATTTTTAATTCAAAAAGGGCAGCAAAGGCTTTTATAATATCGAATTTTATACTGCAGGGTATTTATGCATTTTTGCGAAGAAACTGATACAATTTATTAGAGTTTTTTTGTTTACTTCACCCACTAGTTTGTCAAGTGAACTACTTTTCGTACTAGTGCGTGAAGTATAATTGTATGTCTTTTGAATAGTGCGTAAAGTAAGTACTTAATGCTCGGTAGTACAAAAACAATTTTTGATACATTTGGAATATAACTAGTTAACTCCTCAAAAAAATTAAAAGAATAATCTTTTCTGAGTTAAGATTATATTGTAATACAGAAAACATGTTCCGTTGTATTTTTTCACCCAAAATTATTTGAAAACGACCAAAATTTTGATAACATCGATCCACAATTGAAAATTATAACCTCTTGGTAGCCGCCATTTTGCGAATGGGCGCCATCTTGCTCCTATGGTTCCGAATGTCATGCGGGTCAAATCGCTTATAATTTTTAAAAAATCATCTATACCAAATTTCATGCTTTTATCACAATTTGCAAGATTCTGCCCATTTTTTTGATTAACCGCCCCGACTATTATAGGATCCATACTTCACCTTGTCGAAGGTCACCTGCCGTCAGGAGTGGAATTCCTGTACAGACTTGATGGCGGCTTATTTAACCTAAACAGATTACGAGCCAAGACGACATCGATAATTGAACTTCAATATGCGGATTTTAACGTCCTGATGGCCAATAGAGAGGGAGATCTTCAGGAAGAGACAATGCTGCCAGGAATTGGTGTGCCAAGACTGTGGAAGAACGTGCGGTGTTAAGTTCTTTTATTTAGGGAGAAGAAACCAGTCTATCGATATCAATTTATTCCGTTGTAACGTTTATTTAACAATTCAATTACACATCAAAACGTAACCTATTAGTACTAAAACCCGATTAACAATAATTATGTCGCGATTGACATGAAGTTGAAGGGTCCCGATTGACAATCTTGTTCGGAGGTTGATTCAAGAATGATCTCTGAGGAAAAAACTGTGAAATAAAATATAATATGGAAACTCAATAACTATACTGAGTAAGCGGAATGCTGAATAAGCGTGGTAGCTTCGTTGCAGGTCAGTGGCGTGACAGTAGCAGCAAAGCAGTGGCGTAACATAACAGCGGCTACATAATTGTATAATCATCAGAAAACGGACAAACGACGACAATAAGAATGGAATAGAAGATAATCATACTCGCTTCATCCAGTGATCGTCTATGATGATGACCCTTGCCATTTCTAAATCACTTAGAGGATATCTTATCTTTTAATGAACCACAATATAAAATTTCCATAACTTTTCTACGAATTATTGAAAAAAATAAGTTCAAACAGGCCTTGTGAATTACATTAGGTAGGTACTTATTATTTACCATTCTTTTTCTACGGATGTAAATTAAACAAATATAGTCTTAGTATTAAAACAGTTTAATAAATTACAGAATTCAAAAACAAAATAAAAATTGGTAGGTAGGTAGTCCAAATTTAATGAGATCTTGAGAAAATATTCTATTATTCTATCTTAACGCAAATACAAAAACGAATACTGCAGGTTTGGTGCCAAAAGTTTATTGTTTCAATGTCACCTCATGGCCAGAATTTTTTTCAATTTTTCTTCAGGAAAATAGAAATTTATTTCTTCACTAGTGACTAGTTATCATTACTACTATTTATGTGCATCCCATATCTAACATCAATAAGCCACCACAGTTAAACAGCAAAAAAAAAACTAGTTCAAGTATCGACCTGCATTCTTTCACAAATCACTTCGAAAACAAACACCAAAATCGATATCAAATATCCAGGAAACAATATGTAGCAAGCACTTCTCATATCTTCCACATTCAAAGCTTCATATCCAGCTTGTTTAGAAGAGTTGATTTTTTTCCTGCTTGCCTCGGCTACAATGCCTCTAGTAAAATCTCCGGACCATTTCAAATCGAGGCCAGCTTCGTTGAAATGTTTCAAAATACAATTGATATTAATCAAATATGGTGAACCACTTGGTACTATGTAAGCCATAAAATATTTCCGGGGATATTCGGGGATGATGTGCAAAAGCGGAGTACCATTCTCGTCGGTGTATTGAGTATAAATCTTCAATTTAGCGTCAGTAACTCTTTCTAGGGCAGCAGATTTTTTAGTTTGCACCATAAGATCTAGTGCACGAATCTCCATCCAAGTGGAATTGATTTTGCTGGATAATTTTTGATATAAATGACGAGGATCGTTGATGAATGGGTTTACAGACGAGTGTATTGTCAAGCCAGTTCCATCAAATTCCTCTAAAGTATTAATATCTGGTAGCCAAATGTCATTTGTAAGGACATTTGTTAATTCTGCTGTCAATAGGGGCGAAGAAATTATAGAAAAAATTAAACAGCTACCAATAAAAATTCTTCTGCTTCTTGAAGTGTTGTTTGAGATTATGATACTTTCTTGTGAATGTCCTAGAGCAATGCAATACATTTCTAAAATAGCGTCTTGAAATGATACTCCATAGCATTTTTGAATGATTGCGTTAAAAATGCAGCAAATAATCCAACTGCTTAGAATCATCAAATTTGATTCTCTTAAGAACACATAAAAAATTTCTAACCATTTAGGCACTCTACCAGATTTTAGTACCAACACACCTAAATATTCAAAATATAAATGATAAGTGTATTCGAAACTTGATAGGCCATAGTCTATTAAAAATCTAGAATTTGCTTGAAAATCAATTCGCCTTTTTATGATTTGTCCTAGAGATCCAATAATGCTCCCATTTCTTCCCACTAAGCCATAATATTTGTTTTCTACACCTGAGGCTATATCTATAGAAAAATTGCATAAATAGGCTATTTCTGATAAAACTACACCATCTATACCATAAAAAGTTGACGTTTTAGGTATTTTCTTATAAACCGGATATGTTTGCAAGATTTTTGGTAATTCTTTAATTGCAGTTGGATATCTTTCGAATATTGAAACTTTTAATGGATATCCATTTAAATTTGTAACACTATTTATTATCAAATAAGGATTTTGTTCAATAACATTTAAAGAATAAATATGCACTTGACCATAAGAGTTTCTAGAATTTTTCACGAAAGGCTTATAATTTAAAATATAATTATTATAATTTGACACATGAGGAATTAGTGCAATTAAATTTAGAATTTGAAATTTTTTCCACATGTGAGCTAACAAATCAACTACCTCATCAAATTTAATGTATCTTGAAGTAAAAAATAATACATGTAAGAACCTGGCAGACTCCACAGTTTCTTCTTTATTTTTTGGATTCAAATAATCATAAAATAAACATGGCTCTTTTCCAATTATTATTTTTGCGGTATCTCTTTCGTAATTACGGAGTTCTGTTAGATCAAAGTCATCTAATTTTTCTTTGGGCCATTTTTTGTACTGTTCTATTATCACCTTCTCTGTCGTGTTAATTGGAATCCAGCACATTTTTTCCCGAATAATTTTTTTCTCCATTATAATATTCTGACAAATTCTCATGGAGCGTGTACACATTATATCTAATGCGTCTTCAAAATTTGTAGTAGTATTTGAAGTTTTATATTTTAAATTTATAATTTTTGTAAATTTTGCCAAATGTAAATACTTTGATAAAATAGTTGGAATAAGTGGCGGAAAGCTCTTTAAGTGTTCTGTTTCGTTAAGTTTTCCATGATTTTCAGGAATTAGATTTATTATAAGTAATATTTTCAGCAGCATTTTTTCGTTACTGTATCAAAAACTTTCCGATGGTTCATTTATAAAAGCACGAAATTAATGAGGAAGGCAAATGTGTAATTTTCTTTGATTTGATAATAATTATGCATTAGATACATTATGTTATTATTGTAATGAGGTTCTTGTTAAAGTTTATCATTATTATATATAGAGTGATTCTTAAAACGTTTCTACCACATTTACATTCGACAAGGTGACAAAGAAGGACTTTATGTTGTTATTATTCAAGGTGCAGATTACCTACCTTCACCCCTTCAAGTTCCAATTTTTATTCAAGCCACTCTTTTTCTCCGGCACACATTTTCTGCGAGGGCGGCTTACATTTAAGGGCTCATGGGAGAGTATGGGGGAAACTTTTAAAGTTTCCTGGAGGCCGTGGAACGGCATAGTCTTCCTCGCAGCTCGGCTGAGTAATAATTTTATTAATTGCATTAGACCATCCGGCTGTGTTTCGAGTTGTCGCCTCGAAATTGCGAGCCAAGAGAGGCGAATTCTCCTTATTATGCTACTCTTACTACTATTAGCGGTCGACTACGGTACATTATTAGGTTTGAGTCTAAATAGGAAAATTCAGTGTTTTGTTCTTCAATTAGTTCACTTATATGGTTAGGAATACCTACCATTGGACTCTTAACTGAGGTAATCAAATCAGGATAAAATGCCTTTATAATAATTTAGTGTTTTTCCAAAATTATAAAATTATATCTTGAGTAATAGATTAGTAATCGATCGAACTTATCTTCCAATAATTCATTGACTTAACTCAATAAATATTTCAAACAGATTCGCATTAATAGATCATCATTTGTATTGTTCCACCTGAAGGTGGATATTTTGGATACAAGATCTTTAAATATTTGCATTTAGATTTATCAGCCCCGTGTAAAGTTTCTTTCCGATCTAAATAATTAAAACTCCTAGTACAATTTATAAGCTTTGAATAGTGGAAGTCAATTACCCGACAGTTTGAGATATCAGTTAGTTATATTTGTAATCCTTTTCGTCCTGGGGTGAAAGCGAATTTATAATTATTTACATGACCTAGTTTTAGAGTCTATTATCACCTATTTAATCATCCCCGATTGTCCATCTCTGGACATAGACCTCCATGCTTCTCTACACTGAAAAAAAATAATCGTTCATGATATTCACGAATGGCGGTTGTAATTTTTTTTTCATTGATTAAATGAAATATTTCATCAATCCAATTAAACAGTGTTCATAACGTAGTTACTTTGTTCCTTAATGTAACGAATTTATGTTCATTAATATCATAAAACCCATGAATTTTTATTTTCCATTGTTCGAACGTACACTTTCATCAGTATAAGGAACTTTCTGTGAAGACCATTGATTCTTTTCCTTGATTTTATAAATAATCGTTCATAAATTTTACTGATGATTATTTCGAATCCCAAAAAATTTGTTCATCATGCTTATGGAAATTTCTTCATTGTGTCAATAAAGTTGTAACAAAATCAATAGCAAATTCATAATCTCGGTTCAAGCTAATCTTTCGTCGAAAAAGTTTTATTTTTATGGATAGTTAAAATGTGACCCTAATGGGATTTACAAACACATGGAGCTCTGCGAACGACCTAATCTGTTCGAGAGTAAAAATCAATTGAAAGCGAAAATAGTATCGAATTTTATAGCTTCAAGATTATTTTGCTGTGACCCGAAATTGACAAATATATAGGCAAAATTTATGTTTTCCTAGATACCTACACACTAAACTTTAAACTAATCTGTAGATCGCACCAGTTCCCATGTGATTGTAATAATTTATTCAAAGTCAAGAAAAATTTTCTGAATACCGACATTTTATGACGAACCCAGCCCAGATGTCAGGTAACTGATACCGTTGCTGGAAAGAATTATATTCGAAGCATGTGTGTGTGTGGAGATTTTTTTTCTCAGTGTAGAATTGGTTTATATAGCCATCAGAAAACGCACAGTCGACGAAGAATATGATAGAAGATAATCATACTCGGTATCGAGTGATTGCCTATGATAATCATGATGATTAAACATACCTGATAAGGAGGGTTCAATCACAGTTCAACTCGGGTCAACTTTGAACCCATGAATATTCTTGTTCATGTAACCGAATCTAGGATAATACATTCATATGTTAAACCGATGAAACCGCATACATTAAATTTAATAATCGATTCATTAAACCAATGTTATCTGTTCATTTTATTGAAGAAATTATTTCACTCAGGCAACGAATTCTATACGTCAAAACGATAGAATCCTCACTCTGCGACAAAAAATTCTTCCGTTAAATCAATGAACCAAGAAACACTGAATTAATTTTCTGGGTTCATTGGACCATTGAACAAATCCGTTGAAGTAGCAACTTGCTTTTTTTCATCTATTTAACGAACAGCTTTTCATAATATTAACAAATTCGTTCACCGGCTCAATATTCACTGGCCTAATGCACTTTTTCGTTATATTTGTGTACCTTTTTTTTTCAGTATACTGCATCCATCCTCATCCAGCGTGTTTGTTTAAACTATCTGACCATCATATTTTTGGCATACCTCTTTTTATTATTAATCCATGGTTTCCGATGTATAATTTTATTTTGTATCATCGTCTCAAGTAAATTTCCATTTCAATCTTGTTACTTGTAGGTACGAAGACATGTTTGAAAATTTTAATTAACATATCGTTGATCATAATTGGAAAAACTGTTATGTCAAGAAACCCATTCCCAACTTACAGAGAAGCGCGTTATATTTGTTATCGCCGAAACTTTAAAGGATTATGCTACGGGGCTATAATCCCAGAAATCCGGTAATCTTTGACCTGACCCCTGTTTGTACAGTATTAAAAAAAGAGGTGTACGCGTCTGGCCCTCACCGAAAATCCGTCTATTTATTCAACTTTTGTCCCGATTATTCATTGCCTTAGGAACAGGATATAGGTACTTTTTATTTCATGGATTGGGAAAGTGAAGCCTCAACAATAATCGAAACTGTGTACGTGAGATTTTTTTTATTTATAATTGGAAGGTACCTACTTTATATCTTTTATAACTCAATCGAGAAGTTGCATAACTATTGAATTTAGATTTGAAAATATCAAAAATTATGCATCATCTATTCGTCACTTTTTGTTTCGGAATCCAATTGATGGCATTTTGAAAATGTAGGTTTGGTAGACTTTGGAGAGGAGTCAACGAATTTTGGATTACTCTTTTTGAAAACTGAGGATGATTCGAAATTTCATGTAAATGCTGCAGAGAAAATGGAACCCGTCTCTTTAGAAAACCTGAGGCACCTGAACAAAATGACAATGTAGAGCATCTTAACACATAAATACATATGATGCTATTTTCGCCTTGCTCCATCAGGTTTATCAAAATAAAAATTGTGGCGAAGCTGTTGCAGCAATATTCTGTGATTTTTCGAAAACATTCGATTGTATGGATCATGGAGTATTGCTGGGGAAGCTGAGACACTACGGGTTTGGGGAACTTATACTATACGGATGATACTAGACTTCTTTGGCACGGTAAAAACAGGTATTACCTCAAATTAACTGTTCATAGGAACCTGCGTGAAGTTAAGCTTTGGTGTGATGCAAATTTGAACGATTACCATTGCATTTTGCTTTAATTATTTGTATTTGAATGATGAAACTATAGAAAATAAACCCCTCACAAAATTTTTAGGTCTCATCATAGGCATTAACTTAAATTTGAAGACCATAAGGGCACTAAGTAGAAGGTTGTCTGCTGCTTGCTTTGCAATCAGAATAGTTTCCAACGAGCTTGGTTGTCCTACCACAAAAATGGTTTATCACTCACTATTTGAGTTTCATGTAAGATATGGTATAGCTTTTTGGGGATTTACTAACAGGCAACTCTTTAACTCAATATTTGTTTTACAAAAGAGGGCAATTCGTCGTTATTTCAAGCCGATCATTGGAAGATGATCACAGTAGTTTGGTGTATCGGCACAAAAATTGACTGAAGCCATTCCTTTGGTATCTCGCTCGTCTCATATATGTTGTTGAATATTTTCACCTTTACGTTCTCGTCATTCAGCAGCTATATACTCTGTACATACATTGTCTGGTTCTGCTGCTTTTCCTTGTTTGCTTTGTTGAATTGCCTTGAGGACTTCTGATTTCAGTATTTTTGGAGCGGGTTCACCTTCTTATTCTTCAGTGAAGTCGCTTTTGGTATTCTCCGCATAAAGGTGTTACGTTTAGTTCTTCCAATGGCAGTGGAGTTCCTTGGGATTCGCGATGCTACTATTGTCCTTCACTATGATACGCAAATTGCAAGGCTTTTTTCGGCCTTTAACTTCTTTCACTAATTTATGTGTGTTAAACTGGTCATGCATTTCCTCCAATTCTTCCAGTTCTGTGCATCTTTTTTGTAACCATTGTTTCTTGGTTTACGGATCTCATTTCAAATCTCTTTGTTAATCTTTTTATACTCAGTGTCGTCATAAAAGTTCTTCGTGTATCCATAACCTACCAATATTTCCTCTGTCATCCATTTTTGTTTTACTTTTTGTCTACAAAGAATTACGATGGGGTCCTAAAAGGTGCGTTAGTTGTCTTTTACGCTAGTACGTCCCTGATTCAGGGATATGGTTCCGACGATCGCCTCGTTTACTTTTTCCTTGATTCTTATTTTCACCTACCTCAGGGAGCTGGTGGCTTCTTTATGTTGTTTATATCCCTAAATAGATCTTCGCTTAGCTTTCTTTAATTTTATTTTGAGGTTTTCCACTTCGAGTCATTCCTGTACCTTTGCTTGATTGGTATAAGATCAATTTGATTTCTTACGAGGTGCTCGTTCGTATGTTGTGGGAATTGTCAGGTCTAGAGTCTTCTTGGCGGTAGTGGGAATCATGTATTTGCAATAACTAGTTTTTATTCCTGGCAGAATTGTGGTAGCACACCTATTCCCATTACGGTTGCGATCTCCCAAACCATAGTCACCCACTGTATTCTCAACACGACTAATCTTGGCGTTGAAGTCTCCCATGATTATGAATCTGTTTTTCTGAACAACTCTTATTAGCTCTTTTATTTCTTTGTACAGTTGATTTACTTGTCGGATTTGTCCATCGTAGGTGCATAGATATGAATTATGTTGAGATCAATGGGTTTCGCTTGGACTTGTAGCAGCGCTGCTTAGTCTGAGTACGCTACAAAGTTATTTACTGCGTTGTTGGTCTGCCTATTGTATTGGTAGATTGTTCCCGGAGTAGTATAATGTCGCTTTTTCTTTACTACATTTACCATTGTCGGTCCATCTGATCTCGCTAAGGCTTATGATGTCTATATTGCATCTTTCCTTTTGACTAATCTAGTTATTCAGTATATATCCATAATTTATGCCAAACGTTAAATCATAGACAATGAAAAACTGGAACACGTCAGCATCGGATTGTTCCATTAAACAGAAACGCGACAAGAAAAATCATGCCCTCATAAAACCGAAATAAGTCGGAGTCTTTACCGCGAAATCCGCTTGCGGCGCAAATAACGACCTGTCGTCGGCGGAGAAGCCAAAAAAATAAAAAATTATGCATTAAAAATTCGCATCTAAACTGCTCATAAATAAAGTCTCAATTTACAAGTGTATTATGCTGTCACGGCGTCCACCGCCACCGCGGCAGCAGCAGCAACCCTGGAGAAGGTCTTTCGATCATATCCCGCGGAAAGCGCCCGCGACGCATCTCGATCGTCTCACTTCCACCATCCAGCCGTAGAGCGCCGAAATCCAGAATCCGAATTCAGTACAAACGCGACGCCAGCATCCTGCGGATCGGCATCCGTCCAGACGTCGGATCCAGGTCACGCCCACTAATTCGCTTTGGCTTTCATCATTACCCTGCTGGTTCTTTCTCATAATTTTGTGCTAAAAATTACCTTCATTCTTCAATCCTCGATATAGTGTCCAAAAACTATCGAATCTGGAAATTTCCAGATTAAACATTAGAAATGAGCTCAATAGTCAATGTAATGATTGTAATAACGCCAAATCATAACCAAGTGGCATGAATATAGAAAGTAGAGATTAGTTATTGGGAAAACGAACCAGAATCATCAAAAAAAAGTGTTCAAAAAACAGTGTTCTAGGTCGATACTAAATCTAAAACAATAAAGGGGCGTGGCTGTTGGATTTTGAAAATAATTTATTTAAAATCCTGGACGTTTATTAGGCGACTAATTTTGGAATTCACTTTTTCATCTCAAGATGAAGAATATTATACCATTGATTGTGATTTTCCTATTCACCACAGGTAACAATAGTTTATCTAATATTAGTTTATTTTTTAATTTTTACTATATGCACTTAATATTTGCCTGTGTAGGTACCTATTTGATTACAACTATTTGAAATAATGTTTTTTTTTTTTTTAATGGTTTCAATTAAAATTATTTGAATGCAAATTTGTTTTGTGTGCTTATAATGATTTATTAGCTGTTTTTAACAATATTTCAAGGTTCCTTTAATAGGCGCAATTTCCCAGATGAAATTTTTTGATCTAAAAATGTGAATCTTTCTTGTAACAAGGTTACGCCCCCTATAGTTGCAACATTGAGTAGGAAACATGGAAGCCATAAAAACGCGAAACAAAGAGCTTTTATGACGGGGTAGAGAGCTTGATATTAATTTTCTGAGAAAAGGAATTTATAATTTGCATATTATCAATAAAAATTCATCAGAATTACATATTTATAATGTTGTATGCTTTTTCTTAGAATTTGATTTTTTAAAATATGTACCTATATTTTTTCTGATCATTAGATAACTATTCAATGTGTTTTTTAACTTCAAAATTTAAAAGCAAAAATATTCTTTAAAGCTTCTCAAATGTATTCGTTGTCTGGTAGGTTACGCCCCCTATGCTTTGCAGCTTGCACTTTATAGGGATGGTTTTACGATAAAATAAAATTTCAAAATTTGTAAATAGCTTTTACTAAAGTGCATTATAATTGAGTGTGGATATATGCAATGCATAATTTTAATTTTTATTTATATGTTAATTTGGGCAGCATGATATTCATAACTTTTTCAAAACATGTCGTATTTCCGATGGAAACTCACAATTTGCTTCACACAAAGTTTTATTTATCATTTCCTAGGAAATTCAAAAGATCGGATATTGTTAAAAACCTCTTTTGTATTCCTTGCCTTATCGGTTACGCCCCCTATGCATTGAACTCAGCACTTCATACTAGCGATAATAAATATAAAACTTTTTTTTTGGAATCATTTACTGATTTATTATTTTAACTTGTCGATATATGACACACATATTATATTTAGATTTTTAAAAGTTTGACTCGTTTACGTTGATCTAATACTGTGATGTTTCCCTATTACAATATTACGACCCCTAGGTACAGAATTCGCTATTGGCTCACGTGGAAGTCGTAAAAATTGAAACAAAGAGCTTCTGTAACGGGGTTCATGACCTGATAATAAATTAATGGGTCCATAGCGACAACCAGATACGGAACACCAAAACGTTTCTCTAGTTGGATCCGCAGTGAGAACTGGGTACCGGTTTGCCATGATCTAACTCTCTCCATTATAAGTATTCTAATTACAACTTGCTTGATTAGGAGGATTTTGAAATTCATTTAGGTTACTGATAGAAATCAATGAAAAATTATTATTTTGTCACATTCTGGACATTTAGGTTTGACATTGGCATTGTCATATTGTCATGTTTGGCATCTACAACAATAACAATAATAATAGGGCCTTGATCAAAAATGCTTTTTTTTATGAACGTCACCACAATTTGACCTGAACGGCCATATTGGAATAGATTGCCTAAAGTTCATTCCACGAAACGCGATAGTAGAGGTAAACAAACACGCGGAGCTTAAAAATTCAGAGAAGGACTGCAAAAATATGAATTACAAGCAATGACATTTATTATTGTCAGGTTGTCATAACAGTCAATAAGTTTAATGTCGTATTTCCTAGTATTTCACAATTATTTAAATAGTGTTTGGTGAATTATTGTTAATTAGTGAGCAATTTAGTATACAACAATATCAAGTTCTACAGATTCCGCTGAAGAATTCGTTCGTAAATATATTCAGAGAAGAGAAATACAAAACAACCTAAGACGGTCCTGCCTAGGGCGGAGTATAATCCTTTTCTAGCCAATAAAATTCGAGTTACCTGTCAAAGTCATTTGACTTTCACTATCTCGTTTCGTGAAATGAACTTTAATTCCAATGCAATGAACTATGTATATACTACACGTAACTGGAACGGACCTAACAGCTGCTTTCAATGTCCATTTTTGAGGCAAATTTTATGGTAGTGAGAAGGACAATAAAAGGGGTTGTTTGCTCTGTCGCACACGTACATGTTAACGAGCAATGGTGGGGTATAATAAATCCACCTACCCTTGTCTAAGAATGCGTAAAACAAAAACGGCCACCCCTTTTACTCTATTAAAAATTTGCCTCAGGCGTGATAAATGCTGGTGCCATTCCATTTACGTAGTATACAGAGTGTCCTCGTTCAACTGGTCAAAAATGCTAGGGTATATAGACGAACCATAGAAAAGTAATTTGAGACAGGACACCAATGGTCGGAAGTGCGTCGTTTCCAAAATACAGGGTGTTGAAATTCAAACAGCCCCCTTTCATATCATCCGAATGCTAGGTTGTTCAAACTTTCAGGGATTATTGATTCAGGAACGATATTTGAGAATTCGTATAATGCTACCCCATTATCTATCTGGAACCACCCAAAAAAATTCTTCAAATTTTATTTTTAATTTTTTTTGGGGTGGTTCCAGGTAGAAAATGGGGGTGCATTATACGAATTTTTAAATATCATTCCTACATCAATTATCCCTGAAAATTTGAACAGCCTAGCATTAGCCCTTCAAATTTTATGAAAGTGCGTTGTTTAAATTTCAACACCCTGTATTTTGGAAACGATGCACTTCCGACCATCGGTGTCCTATTTCAAACTACTTCTCTATGGTTCCTCTAACTGGTACAACAAGAGCTAATATGATCTTGTACTATTATGTGATTTTTAGTGTCAAATATTTGTCAAACGAATTTTAGGTTCAGTCAGGTCCTGCGAACTCTAATAGCCGTTTGCACCGACCATGTTAAGGGTTTAACGATAATCAACATTTAAAGTGACATTTTTCATTTTAAACGTTGATTATTGTTGAACCTTCCTTAACATGGTCGGTGCGAACGGCCATAATTCATAATAAACCCATTCAGGTGAAATATACCACATAATTACTTTTTTCCGCTCCTCTAGATGTCACGGACATCAGCAGAATTTTAAAATACCAGCACATCAAGGACACATCCGATGGTCCGATGTCGATAACATTGACATACCAACACATGACAATATGACAGAATAATACATCATTTGATCATAACTAATAATTTATTTAATGTTTAGCTTTTTCCTTCGCCGGTCTCGCATTTCGTCTTTCTTTCTGTTGAGTGTTTTTAAGTGATTTCAAAGTTGTTTTGTACGAGAACCTTCAAACTCAAAACATAGTGATTATTCCAATAGGGCAGATGGCGCTGGCTTGGCAAAATTTTGTTGACAAAAACATTAACACAGGAGAGTCCATTCTCTACAGTTTATAGAGTATTTATGGTTTTTTTAATACCCATTTAGAATAACCCCATCCCTATTTATCAATCACGAATCAAATAAAACAAAAAATTACCAAGAAAAACGAACGTCGATTGCTAATACGTCAATTCCATGTACAGTCGTGAGTATAAAAAGTGGGACACCCGTTTTTTCCTATTGTAAAACGAGCTCATCAGCTATACCTGCGGCAATGACAGGGATTGTCATATTTGACAAAAAATCCATTGTAGAGAAAAGACTTATTTACCCAAAATAGCGAAAAATTACAAGATCTGTCAGTCGGGTGTCCCACTTTTTATGCTCACGACTGTACATAAAAATAGGATATTCCTAACCTAATTTTATTTGTGTGTTCAAGAAGCGACATACGTTGTCACTAGAACGACTGGTACTTCCAAATAGGTATAAAATAAATATCTCTGGGTTCAGTTGGTTTAGTTAACCACGATGTCAGAGAAAGGAACACCCGAACGTTCGGTAATTATTATCAAAAGGCGAACTGAAGTTTACATTATCTTTTAAACACCAACCCAAACCATAAGACTTGGATAAATAACTTAATATTCTGTCATGGAGCCATTATATTCAATTACGTTCTGTAATCTCTGAGGCATGCTTAACAGCTCTTATTTATTCTGGGGTTATTTGGTTCCAAGCTCGAAGAATTGCTTTTCGAAGATCACCCACATTACGAGATCGAAATTCTTCCTTATAGATTTGTTTGGTCATTTTCGCCCGGACATCGATTCGATTCAAATCGGGGCTTTTTGAAATCCTGGTCAAAGTTACGATATCATAATTTTGCAAAAAGTTTTGAACCACTCTCGCTGTATGGCTGGCAATTATCCTGTTGAAATAAATAATTGTCTCCAAAAACTGGTCTCATAGAAGGTAACATAATTTTTTCTAGTATATTGGGCTCTGTGTCATTTGCGCGATAGCCGTTTGCGCGAGGGAGAAAAGCGCGACACTAGAAGCGCGAGGGACAAAAGCGCGACGGAACAAAAACGCGACAGAACAAAAGTGCGATGGATACAAACGCGACTGGATAAAAGCGCGAGGAGCAAAAGCGCGAGGGACAAAAGTGCGACGGAACAGAAACGCCAAGGACAAAAGCGCGACGGAACAAAAACGCGACTGGATAAAAGTGCGAGAAACAAAATCGCGAGTGACAAAAGCGCGAAAAATAAAAGCGCAAGGACAAAAGCGCGACGGAACCAAAACGCGAGGGACAAAAGCGCAACGGAAAAAAAAAACGCGAGGGACAAAAGCACAACGGAACAAAAACGCGACTGGAATAAAGCGCAATTGGACAACAACGCGGGGTGCCTAACTATCTACGAGGACTATAGAACGCTTTCCACAATACAAGTTATTTTCGGTGGTTTCGGTTCAGGATAGCGATATTTGAAATAGCGACATCAGAAAGGCGACATATTGTTAAAGCGATATATAAAAATAGCGACATTCAAAACAGCGATTTAATAAAATAGCGATATTCAAAACAGTGACTTTAAAAAAAAAGCGACATATCCAAAGAGCGATATTCGAAAGCGCGATACTTGAACAGCGACATTGCAAAAGAGCGACATATATTAAGTACGATATTTAAAACAGCGACATATTAAAAGA